CTATATGAGGAAAATATGAACCTGAGTGTTTCTGTGTTTTTTTTCCTAAAGTTACATGAATTTTCCCCTAAAACAAAAATTTTAGAACTTTTCACCTTACTGTTTCCGTAAAATCAATTAAAATACTAATATCTTTCATCTCATGGATATTTTAGGTATGCTAACACAGAAATTGTTTCTAAACAGCCCCCAATTCTTGTTCCGAAAATGTATGTGGAGCAATAAGTGTTCCGTATTGGAAAGAATGTAGCAATAATGAATAATTTTAAAGTAATAATAGTAATTTATAGTCTGTATCCTAAACCACTGTTTTAATTTTTGGCAGTTTAACTTCCAATTGTGAGTGGTGTCCATAACTTTGTACTTCATTGTTTTCACTTATCATTGTAATAGAAATATGATTCTATAGTCCTTAGAATTATTTTAATGATCATTCAAATTCGAGGATAATTTTGTAAATTATTAAACAGTTCTTCTAAAGGTAGACATTTTGGTTGTCTAGTTATCTGCACTTTCTTTCTTATTATTTAAAATGTTACCATGAGCATCTTTGTGCATCCTTTTTTCTATGCCTCTGTTGAATTAGGTCTATGACATAAATTCGGGAAACTCCAGGTCTGCAGTTAAAGGTTCTTTTTAGCTGTACCGCTAACTGTACTGCTGTCCAAAAGGCTTTTTCAAGCAAAAGTGATCTTTCTTTTTTTTCTTTCGTTTCCTTTCTTCTTCTCTTTTGTCAATCAATTTCTGCTTTCATTATTCTTGTATTCAGAATTTCGGTCCAAAATTTTTTTAATGCTTTTAATCATCGCTGATGTTCTATCCATGTCAACCTGAAGGAGAACACAAGGGCATTAAATACAAATATTCTCCGACTTCTTTGCCCGGAGACCAGAAGTGACTCAGCCCGGAGTCACTAGAAGCCCGGAGCCACGTGATTTTTCCTGCTTCCATTACATTGGAAAAAACAAAGAAATCCAGGCCAGCCACCACATAGGCCGTCTTTCCCGGTGGAAAATTTCTTCCTTGATATCTCTTTCCTTAACTAACAGTGCCTTGGTTAGTGTAACAGGTTTGGGCTGCTGGCGGGAAATTCAGGCCATCTCCCCACCGCGCACCCTGCAGACGCCTGTCAAGGCTGGAATCTGTGCCTCGCCCTCCGTGGCCGCTGCCTCGCCTTCTGCCAGCACGGTCACTGCGTCGCGTGTGCCAAGACCGAGGCAGACAATCCGCCAGCCTTTGCTGCAGAAGCGCTATGTGCTGGAATTCAGAACTGCAGATGATTTAGCAAGGCGTCTGGCGACCTACCGCGGAAGGCTGAGGCTGGCTGTCTGCAGTCCTGCACGCCCTCGCTGCCCCCCCAAACCAGAGCACGTTTAAGGTGATACAAAATGGTAATTTTCTAAATCTATCTTTCCTTCTGCATTTATTAGTTGACATTAGTTCACAGAGAAGATCCTTCTCCCATCCTCTGAGGCCGGGTGATTTACTACTCGTAATAACAGCTAACACGGAAGGCTTACTGTGCACGAGGCACTGTGCTGAGTGCTTCGGCGATCTCACTTCGTTTAATCCCACTTCGTTTAATCCTGACTGCAGCGCTGCAGGGCAACGTAACCATGACCATTTTAGAGCTGACACTCAGAAGGATTGAGCATTTTGCCAAGCAACACATTGCAGGTGGCAGGCCCAGAAGTAAACCTGTAACTCCCAAGCTCATGGTCTTTCTGCTACATCCTGCGGGATGGTGTTTCCTAAAAGCTCACCTAGTGAGGAACTAGGTAAAGTCAGTGGCCCTCTGGAGGGAAGGATACCTGTAAAGTATGGTTTCAGGTCCAGAAGAGCCCTGGGTGTACTAGGGGTTGAATATTGCTAGTCTACAGACCAAATCCAGCCCACACACTTGTTTGGTGACTTACTTGACAACACTTACAACTCAGTAAATCTAGATTTCTAGCTGCTCTTTAAAAATTGAAAGATTTGTCCATACTCAGGCTGTACTTCCACAAAGTGAAAATCAACTAGAGCTGAGTGTTGCCTTGCCCATTCAGGCGTGTACTCGCCCTTTGCCACACTCCCCTCTGCTCCCTGTCATTTTCCCGATGCTAAGCTGACCTCCAGTTATTTTACTCATACTTCACCACTTTATTCATACACCACCATAGCATGCATTCCAGAAACCTGGTGTTCAAAAAACTCTGGATTTTTGGTAGAGACAGCACAGTATGTTCCCACCCTGGCCCCTTTTGCTTCAAATACATACCACTAATAGACAAAATATTAAAAACCGTGAACTGAAAGGCCTAACCAGTCCTAGAATCAATTCAAAGCTTTGATGGGAGCTGATGGTACATGTCCGCAGGGCTCAGGGCCTGCAGGTGGGCAGCAGCAGCAGGGGGTTAAGGTCCTATAGGGAAATAGGGACTGATTAGGGACAGGGAGCTGGAGCCAGAGCTGCAATGGGATCCCTATATCAGAAAAGGAGGTTGTAAGACCCGGCAGCTCCCTGCCTGGGGCTACAGGCCCAAAAAGGCAGGCAGCCTCAGATGTAGCCTCAAGACCAGAAAGAGGACCAACTTGCCCCCTCCTCAGTGACGTCATTTGAGATACCCTCAATATCACAGTGGGGCAGGAGCCCAAAAATACCATAACAGGACTTGATCATTAACTGGGAGCAAGGAGGTGGGTAGCAGCCATGTCCAAATTGTAGGTCAAGGAGAGGCAAACACGAAGAAGGAGAGGGAACACAAATAAAACAAAAAGATCTCCCACCCAAGATGAAGTTACAAACCAAAATCCCAAAACACACGAAGACGTTTCATGATTAGCACACAATAAATGGAACAGAGACAATGATTGGAACGTGGATTCACTCTAGATGAAAATAAGTTTATGGAGCAGTCTGACAAAGAATTTACAGTAAGTATGATTAAGATACATAAAAAGATAAATGAAGGAATACTTTCACTTAAACATCAAATCATGAAAGAAAAATAGAAATTAAATAAAATCACATGGATATATAAATGACTAGTTATAAATCTTACACATGAGTGACAGATGTAATAAAATAAGCCTATTTTATTCTAAACTGGGCACAATCTGAGAAAGATTTAGCTATTTCAAAAATAGAACTCAAGAATTACCCAAAACACAGAACAGAGAGACAAGAGATTTAAAAAACATGAGAAAGAAAACATTGACAGTATGCTCTCTGACATCGCTCTTAGCAGCGTATTTTCAAGTCCCATGTCTGACCAGGCAAGGGAAACAAAAGAAAACATGAACAAATGGGACAACATCAAACTAAAAAGCTTCTGCACAGCAAAGGAAATCATCAACAAAACAAAAAGACAACCTAACCATTCGGAGAAGATATTTGCAAACCATATGTCAGACAAGGGGTTAATATCCAAAATATACAAAGAACTCATACATCTCATCAACAAAAAAACCAACAACCCAATTAAAAAATGGGCAAAAGATCTGAACAGAGATTTCTCCAAAGAAGATATATGGATGGCCAACAGGCATATGAAAAGATGCTCAACATCATTAGCTATCAGGGAAATGCAAATCAAAACTACAATGAGGTATCACCTCACTCCGGTCAGAATGGTTATAATTAACAAGACAGGAAACAACAAATGTTGGAGAGGATGTGGAGAGAAGAGAACCCTTGTGCACTGCTGGTGGGAGTGCAAACTGGTGCAGCCACTATGGAAAGCAGTACGGAGTATCCTCAGAAAATTAAGGATAGATCTACCATATGATCCAGCTATCCCACTGCTGGGTATTTATCCAAAGAACTTGAAAACGCAAAGGCGTAAAGATACTTGCACCCCTATGTTCATTGCAGCATTATTCACAATAGCCAAGACTTGGAAGCAACCTAGGTGCCCATCAAGGGACAAATGGATAAAGAAGATGCAGTATATTACACAATGGAATACTATTCAGCCATAAGAAATGATGAAATCTGGCCATTTGTAACAACATGCATGGTCCTTGAGGGTATTATGCTGAGTGAAATAAGTCAGAGGGAGAGAGTCAAATATCATATGATCTCACTCATAAGTAGAAGATAAAAACAACAACAAACAAACACATAGCAACAGAGATTGGATTGGTGGTTACCATGGGGGAAGCGGAGGGAGCAAAAGGGGTGATTAGGCTCACATGTGAGGGGATGGACTATAATTAGTTTTTGGGTGGGGAACATGATGTAATCTACACAGAATTCGAAATATATTACGATGTACATTTTGAAAGCTTATCATCTGAAAGTTATATCTGGAAGTTATAATCCAATGTTACTACAATTAATTAAAAAATTAAAAATTGAAAAATTAAAAACTTGAAAAGTCAACTAAAAGATGTGGAGGATAGAACTAGAAGCTATGATATACCCCTAAGAGGAGTTTCAGAAAAAAAGACAATGGAGGAAAATGATGGAGAAACAGTACACATAGACTTAATTCTTAAAATTTTACACTGGAGCTTCACCTGTGTGTCTTTTATTTCATTAAAAAAATCAGGAGCAAATATGGCAAATTACATTAAGATTTGAATAATTGAGTAGTAGTTACACAAGTGCTTTTAAACAGTATTCTTGATATTTGAGCTATCTCATAATTTTTTGAGGCAAAATACACTTAACATAAAATTTACCATTTCAGCCATTTTAAAGTGTACAATTCAGAGGTTTTTAGTATTTTCACACAGTTGTGCATCAATCACCACTATTTAATTCCAGAACATTTTCATCACTCCGTAAAGAAACCCTGCACTCACTGGCAGTCCCTCCCCACGCTCCCTCATCCTTGGAAATCAGTTCATAATCTTTCTCTATGGATTTGCTTATCCTGGATATTTCATATAAATGGAATCGTACAATATGTGACCTTTTGTGTTTGGCTTCTTTTACTTGGCACAATGTTTTCAAGGTTCATCCACGTTGGCTGTAGCATGATCAGTACTTCATTTCTTTTTATAGCTGAATA